CCATCACACGTGCCATGTGACTGAACTTGTCTGGGGCAGACAGCTTCTAAGACTACCTGTGGGCCTCTTGCTTTGACAAGTATTCCTTTCTTCTTTCATACCTTTTGATGATTTTTTCCTTTTTAGGAGGAAGAATTTGTATTAAGCCAAGACTGTCTGCTGGGTCTTCACCCAGCTTTTGCTTTATGATTTAAATCCATTTGAAACAGTTGTTGCTCTTGCTTATTTATGCCTTTTTTTTTTTTTTTTGACATGGACAAATGTCAAAGTAATTTACTCAGAAGTAAATGTGGACACTTTTAAGGTAGAATCTGGTCCTAAAACCCATTGAATTTTTGCATGTGTTTTTCTGCTGAGAAATTCCCAATATAAAGTTTTGTTTGCTGAGTACAACAGTAGCAGTTCAAAGCTGCTGTGCTGTAGCATTATAAATTTTAGTCCTCCAGTGCTGGACGCAAGAAGACTGAATACCCTATTTCTTTTCAAAACAGCCAGAGTAGAAATGACTAAATGAATTTTTCTTCCAGCTGCAGCTACTTCTACCTTACAAGAGTCAATTCAATTGCTCAGGTGCTTCAACATGCCCTAACACGTTGAAGTATCAGGCAAGACCGCCTGGACTAGCCAGTGTGGCAAGAGGACCTGCAGAGAGACCCCAAGACCTTCTGGGGCAAAGCCTGGGGGTCACAGTATATGCCTAAATAACTTTTTTCTTTGGTGCAACGAGCTGCTCTGCAGGCTGTTCCTGCACCGTGACTGGAAGAGTTGCTGGATGATCCCTGCAACAAATGCATTGCACAGGCACATTCACTTTGGCTTTTAAGATGACAGCAAAGTGGATTTGACTTTTATTTTACTCTCTAAATTATCTGTTTCACTTTCCAAAGCTCTGAGCATCTAGCAGGTTCTATTTAGTGCTCCTACAGTCTTGGGAAATGAAATTATGTAGTCTCACAGCTCCAGAGAGCTTTTTTAAAAGCCTGCTGTTGGCTACATCTTTCTGACAATGAGGAGTGAAGTATTTTGTATGTGTGTACACACTTCCACATATGCTTGGCCACCCACAGAGTTTTCCCTATAATGTGTGAGCTACTGGGCTGTAAAACTGTTCATACATTGGCAGCAATATATCTGTATTAATTTCTGTCCCTCAGACTGCAAACACCAGGGCAAATTGCCTGAAGTTAATCTAACAGTACAATACAGACAGCTGTAATTGTAAACCAAACAGTTGGAATTTGGTGGGCAGGAATAAACAGCAAAATGTGGCTGGAACTGGAGACTGAATACTTTTTCAAAATGATTTTAGGCAAGCACATTTCTTGTGTGTTAATTATTCTGGCATATAAACCCAGATTGGTCTTCCTGGCAAATGCACGAGTAGTTTTAAGGATTGCAGGGAGGAACGTTTTGAACACAGTGGAACAATACTGTAGTTAATTGATGTGTGTTGCATCTTGACTCACAGAGAGTGTCTCTTGGCTTAGACTAAAAGGAAAATGTGGCATTCACATTCTCTGGAATAATCCCTTCGCCCAGGATTTTTCTCCTGGGAAGCTGCAAAGCCTCAGAGAAAAGGAAAACAATTCTTATCTCATTTGCTTCTCCTCTGTTTTGCTCGTGTGGAGTGTGTTTGGAGATTGTTTACCCACAGGTGATTGTTTCAGTGGATTCTGGGGTGGGTTCTTTTGACTCATTGGCCAGTCAGGGCCAAGCTGTGTTGGGACTCTGGAAAGAGTCACGAGTTTTCATTATTACCTTTCTAGCATTGAGTAAGTATCTTTTCTGTGTTCTTTAGTATAGTTTAGTATAGTATTCTTTAACATAATACTGTATTATAAAGTAATAAATTAGCCTTCTGAGAACATGGAGTCAGATTGATCATTCCTCCCTGCCACAGGGGTCCCTACAAAAAAGGAGAAAAAGCCCCTAATCTGCTTTATGTGTGTGTAGGGGGGCTGTATCTGAAATCTAAGCAATGGATTTTCTTTTCAGAATAATCAGTGCATTCCAGCTGGGTTGGAAAACTACTACTCTGAACAAGACTCCAGCGCTCGAGGGAAATTTTACACAGTCATAAACCACTACAACCTGGCCAAACAAACCATCACGCGCTCCGTGTCCCCGTGGATGACAGTACTGTCAGAAGAGAAACTGTCTGAACAGGAGACTGAAGCTGCTGAGAAATCAGCTTAGGATGATAAGCTAATTATTAAAACTATGTCATTTGAAGGTAACTAAGGGACTTCAAGGAACTTTTCATTAAGTATAATTATGGATAATTTAGAGGTTACTCATGTTTATGGTGTAACTGCTTCTGTTTGCTGATCTGCTTTGCAAAAAAAAAAGTAAAAAACTGAAAACAAAAACTTGCTGCAGAACATTCATGGGCATAACCCCAGGTGCATATCAGCATTGCTGTAGAGCTTTGACACCATTTTCAATGTTAAAAAAATCCAATTAGATATGTTCTTGCAGTTTATTGGATACTGATAGATTTTGTCACTGGATTTTCAGGGCTTGGACCTTAGATAAGTCATGTGTTCTGTTGTCTGAACAGATACTTAATTTATTAAGTTTTTGAATTCTTTGTCATTTTGCAAACTGAAACACCCCAGCCATAACTAGAGTGATCTCTTGTTTAGCTGAAAGCTGTAAGTAATGTTTAGTTTGGGCTCAAGCAAGAATGATAGTCAGTGCTGACACTGGGGCATAATGTAATGACTTGTATGGAGAAAGAAACTGTCAGGTCGCATTTTTCCTTACATTTCCTTTACTGTTTTTGTAAGTGATAATGAAGTTCTCTGCAACAAGGCATGCTCAATGTTTTCTTATTGCTGTCAGCAGGCTTTAACTGCATTTCCACTGTGGCTTTAGCATCTTGGTAAGGATGTGCACTGAAACACAAACTAGGTAGACTTACGGAAAAACACAGGCAGTTTTAGTGGTGGGTGTTGAGGATAGTGTAAAAAATATACAGTTCAGGATGTTCTAATGAGAAATGACATCTTTTGATCATACTAAAGAGGCAGAAAGCCTGTTCACAGTACATGTAGTCCACTGTGTCATTTGCTGGATACAGCTGAAGGAGTAATATGTCTAAATTTTCTCCTGTATTACATTCACATTCTCCCTTTTTAGTAGTTAGAAAGAGCTTTCTGTTTATATATGGTTTGCAGTTTGTACTTTTAAAAACATGGAGGGAGCATCACAAGTGAAACAGTAGCGTGTTAGATACCACCACTGGCTGTTAAAGCTCCATGTGAAACAGAGTGAAGAGTAGAACTGTTTGTGTATGGCTTGGGAGGGGAAAAGATGTAGAAGAACATAGTATTGTGGATGCACGTTGAAGTTCCATTGTAATTACAAACTTACCTATTCTTTGTGTGAAATCATGTTTTCATTTTTATTATAAATCTTAAATATACATTATAAAAAGACATCTTAATTTAACATACAAAAGTGTGTGAAGCATCTGGGCAAGCTAGTTGCCTTTTTATTCATGTAACTTGAATGGGACAAGGTAGAGTGGACATGTCAAAAGTTCCTTGGTTTTTTTTGTTAAGAGTCTGTACAAAAATTAAGGGAAAACATCAGGGTGTTTCTCAAGATCTGTAGTAGAAAAAATGTGGTCAGCTCTACCTCTGTTTTTCTCCAGCAGAAGCCTGTCATCCCAATAAAGTAAAAATAACCATTATGACTCAGTGCTCTGAATTTGATAGGAAATGTGCATTACACAGTGCAACTGTAAAAGGCTTTTTATTAAGTCATCATGGTATGTGGAATGCCTAAGAAGCAATAAACTATGTGCCAAATTTTTCTTTGCAATTAAAAATATCAGGCTTATATTAAGATCTTTAAAACATATCATGTTTGCATTTTCTAACAGGCATCTGCTTTATTAAATATAATCAATTCACATGTAACTTTTGACATTTTCACTCTGTGCATAGTAAACAAGAATGATGCTACCTGTTGCATAAAATGTATAGAAATGTACATTTCAGAAGAGAGATAAGAAAACACACACATTTAATGTCAACATACTTATAGAGGACATTCAGATTTTACAGGATGGAAAGGTCAGTTTCCCAAGACTGTTCTAAATAGAAATGATTCACAATACATCTCCTCCCCTTAAATTTAGGACAATAAAAACTTTAATGCAAAAGTAAATACTGATGAGAAACAACTTCTTTTTCTCCTCGTAACAATAAACAATAAAAATTAGTAAGCCTTACAATCTAGGAGAAACAGGTGATTGTTTATGCTTCTTGAAATCAAAACCATTTTCCATCTGATTTATCAGGAGGGAGTTTATTGAGTCTTACCTACACTTGGTTTTGAGACTTTTTTTAGTTAACAAATTGCTCCCAGGTTTAGTACTTTGAGGAGTTTGTCTACCCTTTGGCTTTATTCCAGCATCCCAGAACATCTGTTTCATTGCACAGTATGTTTGTGTTGTATTCTCACTTTTCACTTACAAGTAAAGCTCTTTTGTTGACTCCTTATCATTATTGGTACCATTACATCAAGCTGATTTCTGAGACAAGTAGTTTCAAAGGATTAGAAGTGAAGGTCATTTATGTGCAAAGTGATCACTGTGTACTGAAGTGGTGTGATGAAATAAAGGCCTGAGACAGCGTAGATGCTTCTGCACAGTAACAGTTTTCTCTTGCTCTGGGATGGGAGCTGGACTTTCCACAGCACAGGTGGGTGGCTGTGTCAAAACCAGTACTGTTGCTTTTTCTTCTGTTAGGTCTGCTCCAGCTTGTAGCTTTCTTCACAGCTCTTTCAAAGACTTTTATGTTCTCCAGAGGATAAGTGTGGTTTTATGTTTGATACAGGGATTTTAAATCAATGTACTAATGGATATGTGCACATCTTATTTATTGGAAAATATTTCCATCATAGAGGTATGAGAAAATGCATAAAGTATGTAGGTGTGCTGTTATACCCCGCTCCACTAAAAAAAAGTCAGAACATTTACAAACAGAGCATGGAGCCAATATATGTTTAATTAATTATCATACCAGTCCAGGAAAAGCAAGGAGAATGAACACATCACAAGGAAGAAGAGGATCCATACTCTAAATCCAGCATTGTTTTTGATGGCCTGTGAGGGAAAGGTTATCCCTGTTACCATTACCAGAAAATACAATTCAACAGTGGTAACTCAGAATGCCTGTTTGTGGCATCACCCTTCCCTCCCACAAGAGAAACAGCAAAATTTGACCTTAATTTCAGGTGAATATAAGTCAGGTTGTCTGGTACCTCTTTAGATTTATCACACTGAAGTCACACTCAAAATCTTAATATTGCACGAATCAAACTCCAGGAGCTATATATCACAAAATACATGCTCCAACATTAAATTTCAAAAGTGAAATTCCTTGATTAAAACTAACCAGGCCTTCATCTTTCTAATAAATACCTGACTTGAAACCAATGAAAAAAACAACAAAACCAAACAACAAAGAAAAACAAAATCCCTGACACCTCTGGAGGTAACTCAGTCACTTATTTCAGTCTCAGAGCCAGTATTTTTCTTGGCTACTCCTTTCCAAAACTGGACCAGCAGGGGACGTGGTTTCTGCTCTCATTTTTTAGATTTACATAAGGGATTTTTTAAATATGATACAAACATTAATGTGAGTAACAAAGTTTATTTTACCACCTTTCACAACTGTTTCTCAGGATGGTTTAGGAAACTTAGTTCTACCTAAAAATGTGAAAGGTGAAATAAAATATAGCTTCAGTTCTTGTCATGTTTGGTGCACTTTTCAGAAGAGCAGAGCAGTGGCTAACTCATCCTTGAGGTAGGAGGGAGAAAGAAGTGAGCCATTTAATCAGGAGCCAAATTTAGGAACTCCATTTTCATTGAAATCTCAGTTCCCAAAATAAAACATCTTTTCCTTCTACTTAGTAGAAGTGGAAGAGGTTTGTTTACTGGGAGCATGCAAGAGGTGTTCAAAGTCTCTTCTGCTAACACTCAGCATTCTGTTTCAACCGTTTCAACACTGTCCTATAAAGGTAGCCTGCAATTTCTGCCCCCCACTTCTTTGTTTTAAAAAAACTTCACAGGTGCTTAAATGCAAGCCAGGTGACCTTCATATTTAAAAACTGCTGAGGCCAAGTAGATTTCTGCAGTCCTGTGTAGCTATTCAGATCATGCTTAGCAAGTGTGAACTATTGAGAAGCTCAGTTACCTTGAAGAGTTTTCCCAAACCCCTGGGTCCTGACACCCAACACTCACTGCACTATGGGCGACCTTGCATGTGCTGTTTAAAGCAACACCTGGAAAAAACTGAAAGTTATGAGAAATGAGTCTAAAACACAACTTCAAGATTTTACCTCTCTTATGTCTTCATTGCCTTCTTTTATATTCTCTGTTGCACCCACAACTAATTGATGGATATTGTCAATATCAGTTTCCTGTTTAAAAAAGAAATAAAATTGAGAAACAGCAATGAATGTTACCAAAAAACCAAAAAAACACTTCCAAGGACTTGGGGAACAAGCAGACCTCAGAAGTAAAATAAAATCTGGTATTACTAACATCTTTGTCTCATTGATGCAAAGGCAGAGAGTAATACATTAAAGCTGTAATTTCTTTATTGGTGATTTTACAAACCTTAATGGAAACCATCAAGACCAGCAGGAAGTCTCCCATTTATCTAGAGTCAAACCTAACCTGATTTTTCCCAGCTCTTTTGGAAGAGGTGCCAACATTTCCAGGATGCTGTTATATAACATGTTTAACAGGACACCAGCTCTGAGGCAGAGCGATCATTCTAACACTTACCTCTCATTTTCCTGGTACACACTAGTAAGTAACACCAGTAAATATCTTGATTTTGAATTTGAAAAACAAAAGTATTTTCCTTCACGTTTGCATTGAAGATTCGTTAATTTTATATTCACAAGTTGGCAATCAAGACCAAAATGCTCCAAAAAAAATCCTCAAGTTGTATTTACTCCTGTAGTATTAAATTAATACTAACCTGTTGCAAGACTTTCTCAGTGAATATCTCTTGTAATCTGGAGATTTCCACCACTTTTCCTTCAATTTGTCTTGGCAAAGAACAGAAATACTCCATTAGAAACTAGTGCAAACATGTCTTGCTGCTGCAGATTCAGACCCTCCAGCCCAGTAAGTGGCTGCTCAGGAGGCCACTGTTCTGTCAGTAGTTTGTGAGGCAGCAACAGCCTGGGACTGGGGCTTGGACAGTGCCTGGTTGGAAGACAACCAGCCCACAGTGAGCCCTGAGAATGGCACCCCCAGAAATGCTCAGTGAGCAGCTTTCACTGCCAGGATTTTTCACCTGTCTCCCTTCTTTCATTTCATATAACAACATCCATGTTGGGCCTTAAGCAGTTGATTTTGACACACCCTTTTCATATGCTACTCTGATGTGTGCAGTTCACTTTTGCATAGCACTGATGTAAATTTCTAGCTTGAGTAGCCCTTTGGGTGTTCTGCACAGCTGGGGAGAGTGAATGGCACCACTGCCTGTCACTGCATGGGGTCAGCAATGGCACCTCCCCTACTGCCATCTGGATATCCAGCAGACAACAGGACAGAAATGGAAAATGAAATACTTTGAAACTTGGGTAAGGGAGAATGTAAGCCTTCCAAATGTAACTAGTGCTACTATTCTTTACACTGTGGGACAGCACACGCTTCCTTTCCTGGGCACTGGGGATTTGTCCCAGCTCCTCCCACACCACTGGAGCAAGAACAGGAAGGTGTCCTGCAGCCAATGCCCTGCACACAGGGACTGACTGGGGCATAGGATTGACATGGGTATGTCAAATGACAGAAAACTACCTGACTTCATCGAAGAGATTGTTCATTTCACCAACAAGTCTCTGGTTCTCCTGTTCAAACTGGAAAAAGGGGAGAAGGAAATTACATACAAAATTTATAGGTTTAACTTCCCAGAAGTGAGTCTGAAATGACAGGGTAACAGTATCTCACAGAGAAAGGTTTAGTCTTCTGACATAGGCAATTTCTATCATAAAGAAAATTTTTTTATTTCTTTGAACATCCAGATTTCTTTAAACATCCAGATTTGGTTTTGTACTAGAGGCTCACTGCCTACCTCATTGGTAAAGAACAGCCTTCTCTCCTGGGTTAAAGGATTCCACAGAGTCTAAGAGGAAGGTTACTGGGCACTGCCACCTTCACTGTGGGGTGGAGGTCTCAGGGAAGGTGCCCAGCTCCATTAATTGAAGGGGATCAGAAAGCAACATACTGCACAGTTCTATTGATTTCCACTCTAAAGATCCAATGGTTTTGTCAAATGAAATAACACCAGTGTTGCAAATACATTCAAGTGTCATTGTCACCGCTGTGTGTAGTGACACCACCTACAGAGCAGAGCATTTTTGAAAATATAATCACCTAAACTATATTTATTTTATATTTACTTCACAGCAGCAGATGCTGTACTTCATCACTGCACTGCTTTGCATTCAGGACTACTGTATGTCTGGTTCTGGTGGAGTCACCTCACAACAAAGCCAAGGCACAGAGCAATGAAACAGAGCCACGAGATTTAGTGCTGTCATCGCCAGTTGGCCCTTGAGTGACTAAGTGGGGCCACCGTGCTGCAATTGTTTTTTCAGGCTTTTGTAAGGACAGCTGTACAAATATTCAACATTAGAAATCCCCTATTTTATTGCCTTAAAAATCAGATGGTAACTAATTGGGAAGACAAATTTTCAGTGAAGAAACAGTGAATGACTTTAATCCTTTACAAATAGCACAAATCCACTTGAGAAAGTATTCTTCAAAAACTCCCTTTGATATTTAAAACCGTCCACTGGCACAGATTGCCTTTTAAACTGCTAAATGATCTTTGCAATTTGAAATCATGGCTGATGGAGCACTTGCACAGACAGCAGTTAAGATATGCTAAAACAGGCAATTGAACAAAGGGTTTGAGCACTGAACACATCATACACCAGTGCGTCACAAAGGGATTTACATGATGGGAACATAAAACCAAGCTCTGGCAATCAGTATAGCTCAGTGATTTATGGCTTATTGAAGTAGCCTCTTTTATGACAGTGAAATATTCTGTTACCAAAGTATGGCATAAAGTGACAAACTGCTTAATATATGGCTAAAAAATCCAAGGCATAAAAGAAATAATCACCACTCCTTTCTGTTATTCCATGAGAAAAGTCATTAGATGTGCTGTCTCTGAATTTAAGACAAAACCAACCAACCAAAAAAAGATAAAGTCAGAGAAAAGTAGATATTTTCATGACTCCAAACAGCAGAGAGATTTTTCCTACTCAATACAATCACAAGACATCTGCTCACAATAACTGTAAAAAACATGAATATACCTGTATTCGGAGTTATAAATTGAAATGTATTGTGTAAATCATGCAGTAGGCCTGCAAATATTTTGAACAACATCAAGCTCTCTCCTGATGGTAAAACAGTAATAGGAGGTGCTTTAGCAGTGACAGGGCTTTAATTCATTATTTTATCTACATGAAGGACCATGGAACCATGACTGAGGATTTCCTAAGTATGATATGGCACAAACCATCCCAATTTAAAGCTAACACAGCAGTTTACAGATTGCAAACTATCCTCTTCATAGAATTGTTTAGGATAGAAAAGATCTTACAGATGAAGATAACCCAAGGCCACCACTACGCCATGTCCCTAGGTGCCACATCTAAATGTCTTTGAAACACCAGCAGGGATGGTGACTCCACCCCTTCCCTGAGCAGTCTGTTCCAAAGCTCAAAAAGCCTTTCAGAGAGGAGATTTCTCCTATGATCAGGCCTACAAAACACAACCTGCATTGGCTTTCAGTCAGAAGGCCCTGTCAGAGCCATCATCCCCAACTCTCATTTCCCTTGTTTCACTGGAAGCTGACAGCAAGGGGCCTAACAGTATTGTGCCTAAAGAAAAGAGAATGAAAATATGTGAAGAATTATCATTTAAAAGAAAACAGAAAGCAGGAGTAAGCCTCTAGATTTTAGACTGGCACTCAAGAACAAAATGAGAGCATAGAGAGCAGCCTCTGAAGAACATTTTCTCTTTAACAAGCCATACCATAATTGTGTGCAACTTAGTCATCTCTGACTGGAAGAAAGATGTGCACTGTGTCTGGGAACACCTCGAATCCCTGCCAAGGAAGCTTCACAAAGTCATACTGCTGCAGCCCTCTGCCCTGTAAAGCTCATTGTTCTGATATCTGCACAGCTACTGACTGAAATCAGTTTTTCCTTCTTTATATAAACCCAAGGCAGTGTATGCTAATGTAGAGAGGGTTTTTAAGAATTCTGAGCTATGTTTAAAATGATAAATTTTAGGAATATCAAAAAATCTGACAGGCTGTCAGCAATCATACCTATGTCAGAAATTTCATATTCAAATGTAAGCAGAATTGCATCAATCTATAAACATGCTGATAGCAGAGAAATGCAAAAATGTTAAAATTAATGAAATTCTGTTCTGACAGACACCTTGCAGCTATTCTTTTTAGGAAACCGATCTGATTTTGACAATAAAAAAATAAAAAGAAATAAAATGAAGTATAATTTCACAGTAATAGTTAAAACAGTACAACTATTTATGTTCTAGAACCTATCCAAGAAAAAAAGGCAAACAATTTATTCTTTCTGAAGTCTCATAATGATTCGTCTGATGTTGCCTTGACTTCTATTGTTTACTGACTAAACAAAGTAATTTGTGATTGTAATGGTAGAAAACAATTTTAATTTCGATTGTTGAAAGATAGTTTTTACTAATTTCATGTCTCCATGTAAATGTTTTGTAGCATTTTAAAATATTAGCTACTACCAGAAGAACCAAGAAGTCACAAGCAAAAGGTCTATCTTTTTACAGCATTATTCTGCATAAAATGTTAAAAGTTAATTTAGGTGAATCTGTACTTCTTTTTTTTACCACATGTGAATACAACAGAAAATACAACAACATGAACAATTAGACACAGGATAAACATACCATTTGTATTTCTTCAGGTGACAGCTCATCTTCACCTCTGCCATCCCCCCATAATCCAAGGTTACTTTGGGCATCGGGCAGATTCCTGTCTGTAAAAGAGCCACCCAACACTTGAGACACTGAATAGCACAGGGCAATGAACAGTAAAGTAAAAATAATTTTTCACCCATGTTAGACTGATAATGAAATTGTTGTATCTCCTTTGTCAGTTACTGAGACTCACCCTGTATTTACAGCACAAAATTACATTAATAACCTTTAATTTCTGAACGGGGCCAAAAGTCTTCATGTAGGTTTAATTTTGTGAACTAAAGGGAGTTCCATTAACACACTGACAGAGAAGGAAGTAAAACAACTCATCATGCACTAAGAGCTTTTAGGGCACTAAATACTATAGCAGTTGTCTTTTAACTGATAAAACAATTTTCAAAATGACAGCCTATATGCAAAGTATTATCTTCCAGTAAGACTTGACAGAACCACCAGCTCCTCCTTTCAGAAACTAAAGACAGAATCTCAAAGATGTTTTGAGCACAACTCACAGACGAACTCGATTTTGTCATGCTGTTTAAACTTCCTATTACAGTGCAAATCCCACACCACACTGTGCAAGGGGTCTTCCAGCACATAACAGGAATCAGCTCCAAGGCCACAAATTAACCATAACACATCAAAGCTGCTGCATTCATTTCAGTAGTATTTTCCCTTTGATTAAAGCTATTCATCTGCATAAATCTTTGTATAACTCTGGCATAAAAGATCTTGAAGGGCTATTTCTGGGATATTCCCTTCTGGAAGATTTAATTTTAGGCTTAATTATATACTTCTGGTTATAGAGGAAGAATGTTAGAAGAGAGAAAAGGAACTGTGCTTCATGAATGTACTGTTTCTGAAGCTGTTCTAGCATGAATGTTTAAAAACCTTGTAAGACTGCAGCCTTGAGAGAGAGCCTCTCTTCTCCCCACTGGCTGTAACGATCTTAAAAAACCCAAGAGAGATCTGTACCACCCACAATGAATCAACCCTCAACCTGCTTTGAGGCTGCAAATAAGAACACAGGAAGATTTAGTTTTTCATTTTTCATATATTTCAGACCTCCTATTTATTCCAGTCAATCTTTTAAGCATTTATGTGTATTTTAATTTGTTTTGCTATAACTTCCTAGACATAATTTTTTTCAATTGCTTAAGCAGCACTAATGCATCATCATTCAGAGACTGACTTGTCTTGGGAAACCTGTGAAAGGAGTAGTCTTATTTATGAACACATATATGAAAAGAAATACAAGGAGAAATTTTCCCTTTTATCCTCCGTGATAGTATTTGTGCAAACTCTTGAAACCATCAATATTGTAAAAGAGCATTGTGTATGTCTCCTTTATAAACTTTTTTTCTGGCCTCCCAACAACATTGTTTATGCTAACCAGGATGCATAAACAATGACAATGTTACAAATGGGGGATGCTGATATGGAATATAATAAATTTATTTTAAAAACAACCCCAAAACAAAAAATAGATCAGTTCTTTCTTTTAGTAGTAAAATACAAACCCAAAAATCTCTTTAAAGATTGTTTAGAAAGCATCCAACTGGCTTTTTTCCATGGGGTATTATCAGTATTTCAAATCCATTTCACAGAATCACAAAACTTACTTGTTTAGGTAATCAATGCATTTACATTATATCAAAATGAAAATAAATTATTTACCGTATTCAAACAAAATAAGATAATTAGTTTATGGAGGAAAAAAAAAGAGAAAACCCAGAGGAACCAATTAGTTTCAGGCCTTGCCAGCACTGTTAAAAAACAGCACCTGTATCCAATGTGATGGCTAATAAGCAAATATACTTATGGTAAGAGGTAAGCAAGAAACACGTATCTCCCCAGGGTCCCTCCTGTCACTGTGCTATGTTTTGGGCTTTCTGCAGCTTTCATAGAGCTGACATTAATGCTTTTCTGCAATTCAGCCAGCAAAAGCCAAACTACATTTTTATTTCAGAAAGATAAGTAGTCAATTCATGACAAAGATATAAAATGATCAAATGCTCTGAACCTTTTTCCATGCTGAAAGGAGACAGCTGCTAAGCTTGTGGACCAGTTCAAAAGCTACTCATTATTTACATTTATTTCCATGAACTAAATGTCAAATTTGTAATATGCAAATAAATACTGCCAGTATATAAAAGCATTCTCCAGAGAGACTATTTTCCTATCATGAGGCATGTCCACTAAAATTCTAATGTAAACAGGTGCTTTGCCTCAAAACAAAGGTAATCACATTTTGCTTTGGTTTCTGCCAAAAAACCAGAAAAACCCAAGTTGTGCTTCAGCACATTAAGTAGCACATTCAGCTGTTGATCATAGTGTTCAAACAAAGCACAGAACCACAAGCTGCTCTCAAAAGTATCTTTACACATGAGATTTAACCCAAGGGACCTAGGCATGCTGCTGATGGCTAATTCATAAAAACAAATTATCACCATTCTCTAAACCCCAACATCCTGAAGAAGAAAGAGCTGATTTCAAAATGCAAGCATTTCTCTGGCTTCCAAAAATTTAAAAAGTTACTTGAAAAAAAAAAAGTATAAATCAAAGGCTGTAAGATTTAAACTGAGCATCTTCTTTCCTAGTCATCTTGTTCATGTTATTTTCACACTTTAACAGCCACCTACCAGCAAAGTCACAAGGCTGATTCCTATAAGCAGCAGCAACCAGCACTTACCCTTATGTGAGGAATCACAGGCTGTGTGCATTTGCATATTGTTCCAGACAGATTTATTTTGATACACAAGTTCCATAGTTTTCTCAAAGTCTAGTCAGCAACCCCTCATAAGTACTGTAGCAGCACCACTTGTGTGGCAGGAGCCCTACTTTCTCATAAAATTAAAGCAAAAACTCATGAAAGTGATTACTGGAGTAATCAAAATTAATGTGCAATAAAATAGCTGCATTTCTATTTACTGCAGTGGTTTGCTGTGTCCACGGCAACGAAGGAACAGTATTTTCCATGCTGTGGCACAGATTTTTGGAGCCAAAAATTGTAATGACACTATGTGGTGGGAGAATGCAGGGACATTTGGTAACAAGGAAAGAGCACAGGGCAATGAAGATGCTACTATGCTGCTGCTCCTCCAGTGGCACCAGCTCACAGCTGCAAAACACTGATAACAGGTTAAGGTGAAACTCATCTGTGTGCCTGTGTGCTGCATCACTTATGACACACTATAAAAAGGTAAGCACTAGAAACAACACATCATCAAAACCTGTGCCTCTTACGATAAATTCAGTGTTAGAGGAGGAAAAAAGGCACACTGATAGGGCTGCAGAAGTACAAACTGGTTAGGAAGATAAGCAAAGCCATTATCAGAAAATGAAGTTGTTCAGACACTGTGAGGTAATTCAGTGTTAGAGACTTCATCCAGAAGTGAAGCACTCACTTCACAGGAATCCACCTTCTGTATGGCCCTGGAGTCACCGAACAGAGAACTTTACTCTTCATAAAATCACTGAAGAAACAGCAACTGTTTATCAGAATAATACAGCCAACCATTGCATTTGTTCTATCCTGACAAAGCATTATCATAACGTAATGTAATTAGAAAAAAAAATTCCTGCTGTAAATCACAGGGTACCTTGGTCTCCTTTAGACAAAGACTGGGAGACCTCAAGCCAGGGAAAGCAATTTGAGAATCATTGAAACAACATTTCTCTTTAGTTATGAAACCTGATATTACCTGCATAGTGGTAGTACTCCAAAAGGCACTTAGGTCCAAAGCTCAGCCAGCATCCACATCCCAGGACAGGCTGAAATGGCTAAGAGAATTGAAATGGCTTCCATCTCTCAGCCTGAGAAGCAGGCAACCAGGAATGAGAACCAATGCTCACAAATCCCACCAAGATCTGCACAATCTGAAATGACCCCAAGGTCAGAGACACTGCTTTGGACTTCTGGCTATCTCCTGACCCCTGAAAGATGAGATGAAATTCTCCCAGCAGGGCAACTCAATGCTGTCAAGAAGAAAGCCCCAAAACTACTGGATCTGACCAGCCAGTAACCTCCTCTGTGTGAGCATGTTCCAACCTTTGAGTTCCTACTGTAGGAGTCTCCAACTCAAGGTCTCTGTGCTTAAAAACTACAGAATGTTCCAAGAGAATCATCGACCTACTTTCTAATTCCTTGCATTCAGTGAAAGGAATATGGAAAAATTAGACAAATTTCAGAAGACATGATATTGATAAAAATAAATGAAAAGGAAAGAGTACATAAAGAGGTTATTAAGAGGATGAAGAATTCAGTAAAGCATACGATTTCTTTAGCTGTCATGTCAAAAACTTTAAGACTTTGCTTCCTCAGTCTCACAATATCTTTCACAGAAGCCTGATCAGCTCAAGCAAGATGAAAATGGAAAATATGCCAGTCATAGCAATTGGCCCTTCTGAAGTGAAGGAAGTACTATAACCAGACAGGTCTTACCAGAAAAAATAAAATGGAAAACTACATTTTATTCCTACCTTTGCTTTCCTCAGCAGAAAGTTTTTCTTCAGAATCCTCTAAAGGACTCTGTGAAGATTTTTCAGTGGAAAGAGATGATTTGGACACATTGCTCTGCTCAGGTTCAAGTTTGGACCTAGAAGTACAAGAGCCAATGATTTTACAGATGTATTTTTCTAAAATGAGAAAAAACACAGATTACACAGATTACTTTCAATACTTTAACTCTTGTGAAGTTCACATTAAAGATTTTCCAGTCGAGATACAAAATGCACTTAGCAACTGCCACTGAAATATTGCTACAAAGGCAAAGCAAGAGTGAATAGTATTCCTGGAGGCTACAGCATAAAAATACTGACACTTTTATTAAACTTGCTTTCAAAAATCCAGTGTAATAATTTATTTTTTTTTTAAGCCAACATTTAGGTCATATGAAAAAATTTTAGTAACAACGGCCAAGCACTACTTCTTTATTTTTTTCAAATAACAGTGACAATCTTGCTTTATATTTTCAATTATCATAAAGGATATACAATATAATTAGCTTTCTTATACTACTTCTAAGTCCCTATTAGGTAATTTTAATACAAAGGCAATGCAAAACATGAGAAGCTTACTCAGTGATTATATATTAAGTACTTCTCAAGTATGTTTCAGCATGGCATCAAAAAATTAGTGGTAGTGTATTTTTTCCAGTAAATGTCTGTGGCTTATTGTTGTCTACAATGAATTCTGAAACTGCTACATGGCAAGCAGTTAAATGTTTAGTAATGTGAAGCAAAAACCAATGGGTGGAATCACCTGCTGTGCCAGGTGATTCCACCCTACCCTTTATCAAGCAAGCAGTTATATGTTTAGTAATGCTGTTGAAGAAGGTAAAGAAGCAAAAACCAATGGGTGGAACCACCTGCTGTGCCAGGTGATTCCACCCTACCCTTTATCACTTCCTACCCTCTCAAATATAATCAACAGTTAATCTCATTATGATGTGCAATTCTCCCGTGTGCCTAACAGAAGGTGTTGCTTTTTGTGTTCCTTCTTTGCATTGTGTCTAAATTCTAACCCATTATTAGAAAATTCTGTGAAAACCAGAATATAATGCAATTGTCATCACCGAGTGATTGCTATTTAACAGTAGCAGGGAACCTTTTCTAGTGCTAAAACCTCTGCAAGTACTGGGCTTTTGGTAATTTTACAGAGAAGAATTCTTCTCTCATCTCCTCCCTCTCAAATTTGCCTAATAATAAGAAAAAAAAACTTATCTACATATCTGTGCAGTTCAAATAATAGTTTTAATACTAATAAAACACCAATTCCCAAGGTAACAAAAATATCAGCTTGATTTGAATAACTGCACACATAATTTCCTAAATCTTCTAATGGAAAAAGAAGTTTAAAATTGAAATTAAATATAATCTTGAATACTAATAAACATTAAAATTGAAAATCACAACGAAGTACCTTTATAGAAAGAAATGTTTGTGTTTCTGTTTCTCATCTTTTCTTTCTGTGAAACTAGTCCAAACCAGCAGAACTTTTAAATCAAAATATGTGAGTGAATACATAAAGGCAACCTCTGTAAGAAAATTGTAACACTCAGGCAATTTGTTGAAGAGCTTAGGATAGTTATCAATATAGGAGGAAACATGATGAAAGTTTCTACTGCAAACTTTTCACTATTGTCTGATATACACATATTTTAAATTGACTAAACTGCAGGAAAGAAGAGCTGCTCTAGGATTAATTTATTTCTAAAGAAACATATTCCTTTATTGTTTGTGGTCCTTATTAGGCACGGTATAGGAATACAGGAAACTTTCAATTTAAAATGAACAAAGTGTCTGGGATGCACTGTTTAAAGGATACCTAGTTCTTTTAAGAGAGGGTACATGTTCTTATCACATAAAGCATCTACTGAAATCCTCAGGGAAGTTACAAATCAATTATACTATTTTTCTTTAAGTCATAATAAAGACTGGGTTATGCCCTGTGATTTATGTGAATTGAATTTTAATTTAAATGACAACTTAGCCATTACATCACATCTGCAATGCATACAGACTACACCTGGTCAGCATCTGTTTTCTAGTTCTTGCATCTGTAAAGAGAGGTACAGAGGGACCCTCCAATAAAAAGAATGTATCTTTTGGGTTAATTCTTAATGCATTATTGCTTCTTAGTTAAGTGGTACTCTAACTGCTGAAATAATGCATCAAACTGAGGTTTTTTTCTCTGTTTATTCATCTGAGAAATCCTGGAAATTTCACATGGAAAGAGTAATGTAAGAGTACTAAGAGAAGAGCTGATATTCATTAGCTACTGCTTCGACTGCAGGAACAATGCTCTCTTTCTCTGAAGCTCTTTCACATGAAGAATATTGATAAGATTCTGTATTTTTACACATTAAAAATATCACAGTTTGTTTCTGTATGAGTTTTTTTCTGGGAAGTTATGGGAGCTACAAAAACACCAATGCTTTACTTTTCTCTCATTGCTTTTTACCAAATTTTTCAAAAGTGGTTTGGGGTATTTTGTTGTCTTGCTTTTAGTCTGATCCTCCACATGTACTACTATTTATGTCTCATGAGGATATACTTGAGAGAATCTAATTGTGCTTAATCAGGCTGAATCATTCTGAATAAAATATACTTATGAACTTCTGAAAACATCTCTCTAGGTTTAATGTAACTGTAACTGAAAAACCCAAACACCAAACTGATAAACCAGCAACAAGTCTTGGGAAAACGCTCAAGAATTTATTCATGTGCACATTCTAGAACTATATTTTTTAAAATTAAAATACAGATAATGGACCTTGAGGTTACTATTCAAATAATGGAGAGTGAGAAGACATGAAAGCCTCTTAGGTATTAAATAAATTGCAAACTTGCTCACTTTCCCTATTATTCTCAGAACTGGGAGTACAAAGAAAAAGAAAGTGAAGAAGTACGGGGCTTGAAACTTGACTGAAAAAAAAATCCCACCGGACCAAAAGGCAGCAAGCAACCACCTTTAACGTCTCCTAGACATGTTCAGCTCTACATTGGCAGCCTTAACAAGAGCCACTACAGGAAGTGGAAGCTCTTGTTTCAGTTCAGAAGTTACATTCTAGTTTTTTATTTTTATTATGTTTCTGCTTGCCATGAACACCTGCCATCTCAAGCAGTATTTATTAACAACACAGTCACTGTTTAGCAGAAAGATAGGACCTTTAAATAAAAGCAAAAACCAAAAAATTTGCAGAAGTCAAATATTAACGTGCATTTTACTGATTTGGTGCTCTTATCCTTTACCTAAATGAGAACTCCAACCCTATAATGTCACTCTGACACTTTCAGACTTGACTTCACGTGTCTGAAGCGTAAAGAGCCCTGGAATGCACCTGTTGACCACAGAAGTTGCTCATCCAACCACAAACTTCCATTGAAACAATCTCCTTAGAATCTAAACATGAACAATGGTTTTGTTGAATGTCCTACAAGTGAAAGGCACAGTTAAGCTATTTTTTGACATTACTCACAGTCTCTTCTTATCTATCACTCTCTTAACTCGGATGGCTCTTTGTTCAGAATACAGCTTGCACACTCCTGTTCAAGAGAGTAAACAAAATTTCAGGTTAAAATAGCAAGATTCCTTTCTTGGAAAATGCAATCATCCATTTGTAACTATTCAGTAAATACTAAGTACTTTTTAAGTAATCTTCAATGAAGTCCAAGACAGCTGTTCTGTGCTCCTTCACCTGAGCAGACTGGACACCCTTGTGTGCTGAAATACAAAAGAAAAATATAAAACAATCTTTTTAAAGCAAAACAAATAAACTTTTTACTGAATTCTGTAACACTTTGCACTTTCAGTTGATATGTAAGTTACATTCAAAAGCCTAGTCACATTTTATATTTGTTATATATTAGTATTTCTTTTAAACATAGCTATATTTAAATATAGATTCTCTAAAACAGAAAGTCATTACAATGAACCAAAAAGTGAAAATAACTAGTGTCCTGTAGTAATTTTATATATGCCACAGAGTTCTATTATGTCAAATAAACTCTAAACAGGAATAAGTGACATCCTAAGAACAGCAGAATAAATCTAGAGATTTCACTTGCTTAAATTATTGAACTTGCTCAAATTTGGTATACAGACTGTGTGGAAATTTTTGGGATTTATTGTGTCAAATCCTTTTAATTTACATATATAGATATTTTTTATTTTCATAGTATGCCGTTCCCATGCATGACTGACATTCAATGATTCTGATTAATGCTACAACTATGTTTAGATGGCATTTTATAGCTGATGAAAATCTTTTGTGTATCAATAAAATACAGAGATGCAGCAAGTCAACTTGAAAATGGCAACACAGACATTCTCTCTCTACGACTTTCACAAGATCGTGTAGTAAAGGTATGATCCCATATTCAATTTGTCAAAAACACTTTTAATTTACCAGGACTCTGTTAAAGTTTTTTAAATATCTCAGACTTGGAAGTACTATACCTGTAATACCTTACAGGTAGACAAGCTAGTAAAAGACAACCATCACATTTGGATGAGCTTTGGTTTAGGTCTCTAAACAGTGCTGAATTACTACTCAAGTAGCAAATATTTAAGACTCTCTTTTACACTTGTTAACCTTGAGTGTTTCTATGCTATCACTCAAATTTTGAAGTTCAAATAGTGGTGTATTTGAATACATAAACAAAATTTTATGCTGCGGCTTCTTTTTCCACTATCATTAAAGAAAATGGAATTACAGTACTAATCAGCCAATGGAATTACACCAATGCAAACAAAAAGGCAACGACACTTCCCCTATTTTTTTCCTAAAGCATTTAAGATTCACCATTATTCACCAACATTCAGCATTACCTCAGCCTTTATCAAGAACTAAAAAAAAAACCGTAAGAGTTGCTTAGTTTACCTTCTGTTCTGAGCTGATGAATGGCATCAGCACACGTTCTCATAAACACCTGGGCATCTTGATCTATCTGGTCCCGCTCTGTATCCGTCATCCTCACATAATCAGACATAATATGGCTGAGAAACAAGACAAACTTGTCACTTAAAAAATCCCCAACATAAAATCCACAAGTACACACCTTAGACCTTCTTGCGACCTACCATCTGTGTGAGAGCTTTTCTGCAACACAGATTGCCACAGGAAAATAATAAAAAGTATTTTTAAGAAGTAGAAAGTATATATCAGTAACTACCACTGATAAAAATGCCACTCCTATAACGTTGGGAGGCTTTTTTAAAGAACACTTTTACTAGTAAAGTATGTAGAAAAAGCAGTATCACCTATTATCTTGTACATAACCATAGACAGAGCAGATAAGGAGAAAATACAGCTAGAAAATATATCATTGCCCTTGGTACTTATTCCTATAAAGTGTCCTAAAAACACAAAACCAATTCAGGTAAAGGAATAGCTCAACTACTGAAAGAAGTATATAAAAAAAAAAAAAAGGAACTTTCATTATCCCAAATACAGTTCTTCATTTTTGAAGTCGCTGTACTATGAAATTGTGAATTCAAACTAGAGGAAGAATCTGGAAAATAATGCACAATTATCATATCAAAAAATTGCAGTATTTATTAAAACCTGTTCCCATTGTTTATTTCAATTTTAGATTATACATTATGCATTTAGTATTTTCTAATGCTATTAATAAATCTTCTTGTTGCTAAATGAATAAAAATGGAGGCCTGTCCTTAAAAGATTAACTCACTGTAGGTAACAGCAGAAAGGCATACTGTAGAAGGTATTTAACAGTGTTTCCACAGCCATGGGTGACAGGATAAAACTCTGCTACAGCAAAAAAAAGTTCATCTTGTGTTTCCTGGTGATGTAGTGATCACAGCCTATTATATATGCTCTTTAAAAAGGAAAGAATACCTTAACTCATACCTACATTTGAAATTAATTTTTTAATATGTGAAAATTTCCTCACGTGTAATGCAACTACATTACTGCAGTAATACAAGTAAAGAGAGAAGATCTTCAATATTTAGCCTGATATCCTTAGAGATCTCTTGCACACGTCACTGTAATAATGGCAAAGCTCCTCAATGTCTGCTGCAATCCCAGCCACAGGAAAGCCCACAGCTCACACAACCCTGTCTCCCAAATTCATCCCATACAAACTCAGCAGTTCCCTCCTGCATCACCAATGTACTGCAAGCACGGGTCCAGATCTCCTCCACAAAGCTTTAAGTATACTCTAAATAATAATACTCTATAATACCCTTCAAGTATTATACCAAAATCTCATTCCCATCCCACATTACTGGTTTTACATAAAAAAATCAACATATGGTTCATCTTGAAAATTAGTTTCTGCTTATTGGTCAGCTAGTACACAAGTACAGATGGGCAAGCAAACAGTAAGACAAACTAATTAGAAGTAATATTCTATATTTTATGTGTTTGTTTCCAAAACTGCCGTGTATTTGACATCTAAAAATCAGGGCTTTTTTCCCTCCCCCTGTTTAAAACTATTCTAAATGTCATAAAATTATTCTTTATTCCTTAGTACTGTCTCCATTTATAATTCTAAGCATGTGTAAAGCCAGGAAATCCATTCCTATATGCATCTCCACACAGGCCAAGACTGAAGGGACTATTAAGACTCTGGTATGGCATAATTCATAATATCATTCAGTGAGCTCAGCCTAGAGAGTTACTTGAGCATTTTAGGGCACAGAGATTTAGGTGGGAAATAAGGATGGAGTAACAGCTCATTGATGAAAAAAATCCACTCTTCTATTTCAGATTACAATAATAAATTCTGGCTGGTCTGCTGTTGAACAGCATAGAAAGTTTCCATGTTTATATGTCTAGCTTCTTGTACCCCTCCCAGCTTTGGAGTGTTTGCAGAGTTCTACACTTTTCATGTACTTTTTAACATAAGAGGGTAAAATTAAGATTACAAAACGCAAACCAGAATCTTCTTTTAAATCAGACTTAGAAATAAATAAGAAAAAACTTGCCTCAGGCACACTTCATTTTTTACTAACAGTTTAACTAGTGGTAGTGTAGTGATACACTGAGGACAATTGCAACAGCTTTTTAACTTTGGGAAGTTGTTAAGTTACTTTTCCTAGTTGCTGATAGAAAAACAGGGTAGATTAAGTTCTTAAATAGTAGTTTCACAGCTTCAAAGCTAGTATAATGCAGCTTAATCCAGTAAACAAGAAACAGAATACTTTTTCTATTATAACTGCTTACAGCTTACATAGTGTCTGGTAGCAGTGCTTTTGAACATGAGTCAAGCCACTCAGAGAGAAGGATACCTGAAACACAACCTCCTTGGGAAGGCAAGAATGGAGTCATACAATCACATCCCATTATGTCAGAACACATATGGCATCCACTAGTACTAACAGGGTACTGAAGTCCCTACTGCATTCCCCAGTAAATCTGCACACAGAGATTATACTGAAAATCCATTTAATCACCATCCTCTACCAGAAGAGGAACAGCTCATTAAAATAAAACAGGCCAAAGAAAACCAAAACCACATAAAAACATCAAACGAAAAACAACAGAACAGAAAAAAATCCAGCTGTGTCTTGTAGGTCAGAGATACAAATGCATGCTCAGAAGTGCACTGGCAGTACCACAGCAGTGGACTCTTCCATCACTAAATCAAGAAGGGCCAAGAAGTCAGGTTTTTTAGAAGCAAACAGAAAAATTAGCAAGATATGCACAGAAAATGAATGGAGAAAGGAGGAAAAGAAGTTCGTCTGGATTTTCATCCTTGCCAATATGAGAAAACTTCATAAGAAACTTAGGCTAGAAGGCAACTCGGTTTATTTGTGATTTTTAACAGTGGGTGAAGAGTACAAGAAAGACAGTGACCATCAAGTAGGCAGATTTCATCAGTCTAGAAAAATGAGTAGGTCAAATCGCAGAGAAAATTCAAACTTAAAAAAGCAAAGGAAAGAATTCAGATGAACTGGTAGTTTTCATACAGAAATTACATTATAATTTGCAATTCTGCTCTTGATGAAAAGGAAGAGTAGGCAATTCAGTGAGAGATCAACTGAGCTTTGTTGAGCTCAAACAGAAAGATCAGAATACAAAGTGCAAATTAGTTCTGATTTCTATCGATAACTCTAAGGGAACACAGCATGCAGGGACACACTCAGAAGAGGATCAAGTGCAGGATGAGACACAGTTGGGAAGGGATGCCAGTGATAATAAGAGATTGCTCTGCAAACATTACTATAAGAAACACTTAAGAATGTGGTCTTGGCTTGTTACTCAACAGAGAAACAAAATTATATGCAGAGTACGAATTAATTCTAGATGTTTATTGCTTTGTTTTGGGTTTTTTTGCACTAACTTTCATCACGAATGTCGCTTGAAAGCTGCAGTTACTATTCCTTTTAGCTTACTGCTTCTAAGTCATCCGGGCCAAATTTAATACCTCTGTCATTTTAAAAAGATCATAATTCTTTGCTGATATTATCATCAGCAACAGCAAGTGTCAGATAATGTATTAGTGAACAGGCTGCTGAGTGAACTGTGTGAGAGAGAAAGCTACATGAACCACGTCATAGCACAAGTGTACCTGAGGTGCAGTGGCTCCTGGTGAAGTGCATATCCATCCTATCTGTGTGACAAAGCTGTGCTCTGGAACGGAACTAACCAACTTCCAAAAAAGCCCAGGGCGTGTGCACATTCAAACAGTGGGCAGAGACAGGAGACCCAGCCCTGGAATAGAATGGGAAATGCATCAAATGACAAGATGAATCCTCACTGCCAAGAACTAGGAAAGAATAAGTAGCAAATGACACACTGATAAAAAGACGAAGGTCAGCAACTATCTTTGGAAATAGGGTTTAAGGGACAAAAAAGTGCAGAAGACTTGTAGACCGTTCAATCTAGGAAAGTACAGGAATAAATGAGTAATATTTAAGCACTTAGGAAAGAACAAAAAGATTACCAGTACCCAAGATGCATCAGTAGTACATAATAAGCAGTGTAATTTACTGCTGAGATGCAGTAACAGGTCTTAGGGATGGATGAAAAGCAACCACTGCTGGATATTGGTATGGCTCTTGTTATCATCTCACATTCTCACCAGTGAATAAATGAGTTAGAAGAAATAAGCACCATAGGAACGTGAAACTGCAAAGTTGAACATGGGGTACTTATACACCAAAACAGAAGGAAAACACTGAGTTGTGTTTCACAGGATTTTGTCCTGAATCTTATGCCATTTAATACTTTCATTAATAACTCAACAGAATGGAATATATACTTACTAAACTTTCAGAGGCATAAAGTTAAGCAAATTAAAACTGTATCAAGAGAACAAGACTTCAATTCAAAATAATATTGCCCGGAGAAATGACACGAAGAACTTGAATAAGGAATAGTAAGAAGCTCTTTGCTGCATCAAGAACAATTATCTGAACCCACAGAGAATGGGGAACAACTGATTAGGGAACAGTTCTTCAGAAAGTCATCTGGGATCATACTGGATCATAAACCAAACACAACAGCAACATACTGTTGCATAAAAAGTCATCATTACAATGGGACACATTACTCTAGTAACATGGATTGGAAACAGGAAAAAGCAGAATGAGAATGTGAAATCGTTACTGAAAGAAATATTTAAAAGCAAGCAGAACACTAGTCATTCTCTTTTTGGATGTTTCAGCCATGGTCCTTTCAGCCTAACATTTCAGTGATTCTATTTTGCTGGCAAAGCACAAAGAAACAAAGCTGATGTTACTTTAGCTTTTGGAATTAGTAATTCTGCTGGTACATAAAATAACTTCTGCTTACTAATCCAATAAAAGTAACAAATCAAGAAGAAAAATTTTATTTTCCTCCAACAGAGTATTAGAAAAGAGAGAGTAGCAATAAGCAGAAACAAATCAATTGTAAAATAGTAGAGATTTGCCCAACTTACCACCTGCACATATTGCCTAGCATATCCATACAGAAATGCTACCCATGTGCTAACTGCCCATATGAGTATGGATAAGCTTAGCTGCAAATACAGCAGTCACATTCTTCCCTCTGGGCATCTAGTATATTTAAAATTGTTTGATTTCTTACTTAAGTTAGTTTTATGCATTTCCATTTACCACCTTTTTCCATCCAAATGCTGTCTGACATAAATCCAAGCTAAGAGGTCTTTGATTCAAATGACAAAACATTCCACAACATTTTTTACATATGTTTTTTTAATTCTGTGTGGAAGCCTCAGCTAGCAGAATAGGCAATACAGGCACACCTGAATTAGCATCTTCAGTGTTGTAAAATATTGCTGAGATACTCCAGAGTGCTACTATGAAAAATTACTATTTCTGAAATGTGATATATTAATTTAGTCAATTAAAAAAAAAAAGAAGATAAATAATTTGAAAATAATACCCCGGAGAACAGAAAAATATACACCTCCAGGAAAAAAGTATTTACAGATCATCTACATGTTTTACTACCTCAATACAAAAAGCAAGCCTTACTTCTTGTAAAAACATGACTAAGCCAAGAAAAGAATGCAGCCTGGCATTGTACAGGAGTCAGTAAAACACTATTTTTAGAGTCCTTTAGTGGCTACTTCTTTTATTGTTAAATACAAGGAAACACTCTCCACAAAACACTGTTGTAAGCATTCAATGATTTTCTATTAAGTGGCAAATGATGTAACTAATTTACTGCTTAAGACAGATAAATGCCAGGGCAGGAGGCATAGCTACTGGGCACTAACATTATTTTTTAAGACAGAAAGATAATTTGTTAGTAATTTTTCCAGGCATATTATCTGCAATTAACAACAAATGTTCAAGCACTTAACTGCACAGAAGGACTACAGAAGCATGTAATGAAGATACATCAAAAGCCACCCATGCAGCCTTTCTGGTGGAAAAAGTGACATTTCTATTCAAAAGTCATCTACGCTACTTTGATCAACTACATAAGTATCTCTGCAGTTGCAAAACACAATTAATTAGATGTCTAATAATCCCAGATAGAAAGCTCTTCTTTCAAGTATTTTTCTTCCAAGTATAAGGTGTTCTGTGAAAAAAAAAAAAAAATCTAGAATTCTGTCAATTTCTTTCCAGTGTCTCATTAAAACACTATAAATAATGACTGGCCCTTAAACTGCCTAAACCTTGAAAGATCCTTCAGAGAAACTGAAGGCTGTGAAGGAATCCCAAGAGGATAATTTGAAATTTCCAGGTGTTAGGGCAGTACAGGTAGATCCTTGAAGTATATTTAACACAAACATATTGTCTTCGTGGTTCAGTGATCAAAAACATGAAGGAGCTTGTGATGAAAAGCAAAGGCACAAGTTGTTCACAGATGAGACATCAGACAAGTTACCAAAGACCGAAGATGGGATCTCTCCTAGCACAGTGTAAAAAGCAGTGTAGGAAAGCATTATAGCAAATGGACTGAGAGGAACAACACAGAATGTAGAGCAGTCAATATACTAAAAATGGTACCTCATTTGAAAGGAGTTATTGCTTAATAAGAAATATGAAAAAGTGGCCACATCTTGTTAACAGCTTCAGGACTCAAGAGTCCCTGCCTCCTCCTTTCCAGGAAGAGTGATCGGCTTGTGTGCACTGGTTTTGCTTGGGATAGAATGAATTTTCTTCCCAGCAGCAAGTACAGGGTTTGTGTTTTTGATTTGTGATGGAAACAGTGCTGATAACTCAGGCATGTTTTTGTTATTGCCGGGCAGTGCTTTACACAGAGCCAAGGCCTTTCCTGCTCTGCATCCCACTCCACCAGTGAGGAAGCTGGGGGTGCACAAGGAACTGGGAGGGGACACAGCCAGGACAGCTGACCCCAGCTGCCCACAGGGATGTTCCAGATCACATGGCTTCATGCTCAGCATACAGCTGGGAAAAGAAAAGAGGAAAGGCGGGGGTGGACATTTGGAGTGATGGCATTTGTCCTCCCAAGTCACTGATACATGTGATGGAGCCCTGCTTTCCTGGGGATGGCTGCCCATGGAGAATAAATTCCTTGCTTTGCTTGGGTATGTGGCTTTTTCTTTCACTATTAAACTGCCTTTATCTCAACTCATGAGTTTTCTCACTTTCACTATTCTGATTCTCTCCCCAGTCCCACTATGGGGGCACTGAGTGAGTGGCTCTGTAGGGCTGAGCTGCCAGCTAGGGTTAAAACAATGACAAAAAATTCCTTATCACAGAAGGCAAAAACCCTACATGTAAAAGAAAGGAAATAAATCCTAATAAACAGGAGAGGATGAAGGTGTGGTGGCCTGTAAGCCAGCAAATTTAGATCACTACATCAAGAATTTCATGTGTTTTGCCACTTAGATATTTTGTAAGTAATAGCCAAATCAAGAAGAAAGAAGGTGAATAAGCAATTACTAAGTCACTTTAGGTAGTTTAGTTAAGTAGTTAAAGTTTGATAAATAGGACAGAACCTTGGTTTCAAATAACCACTCTTCCAACTGACTTTCTCATTGCTAAAAATTTTCCTCTAAAAATGAATTAAAGACATACCCTCTGTAGCAGGATATTTCATGTATGCCAAAATTAAAAACCATTATTAAAGAATTCATAGTCTTCAAAGGTAAGGTCAAAGAAGCAATCAAGAACCTGATTGTAACACAAAATGAAGGAGTTTTAAAAGGCACACAATAATACAACTTGGTAACTCAAAAGCTCAATTTCAACAACACATTGTGCTACAGCTGGGAAAACAAACAGCAGGACTGACAGAGTAATAATTTTCTTAATGAAATTTGACATCTCCTACATACATTTCAGCACAGCCTTTCAGTATTAAATTGTTCAAAAACTGTCCCCATTACTTAAGTATTGAAGAGTTGTTAACTGCTGTCTTGAGTGAGTGAGGCATTTGCTAAGACTGCAAGACTGACAGCATGGATGCTATGATGCTCTTTGTATCCATGAAGTAGAACAGCACAAGTAATCTAGCATGGAATTTGATATATTTATATCTAATTAAACATAAGCAATTTAAGTTTGAACATTAAGAACATAATCAACTCCAATCACAGATGAGATCTACAGGATTATTTTATGGTTTAATAAAGTAAATGACACTTCTTTCCTCTCCTTAATGAAGACTTGGGTGGGGGGAGAGGAAAGTGAAAGGCACTGAGAATTACCATGATAACTTGTCGCAACTTCTTTGCAAAAAGAACATTAAATCTTCTGGCAATCAAAATAACCTGGACACATTTTTACTCTAACTTCCATTTTATGCAGACTTTTGTTAATAAAATACAAACACTACCCAAAATTTAACTGCTCCTGACTGCTCTTACTGGAATTATTTGCAGTTTCTCAACCTCTGCATGCACATTAAGTTTTCACAAAGTACATGCAGCTTTGTCAGTATTAAATTGCTGGCTCCACCTAGTGTTGTTCATGCTCTATTCCTACAGGCATTGAAAAGCAGAGAGCCAGTCATAAGACAGAGCTGAGCACTACTTCTGCTTGCTCCTTGGAAACAGCATCCCTGACCCACCTCACACACAGAGCTGTGCACACCCCGAGCAGCATTTTCACCAGCACTGACTGAATAGCTCCCACAGCCTCTCACTTATAAAAGAAACCATTTTCCTTTTTTGTTTTGTTCTTAAAATAACAAAATACAGCTTTTAAACTATTGTGGAGACAAAAAAGGAAGCCAGAAGTCTTTGATAACTTACTCAGAACACACTTTGATTCCACTGATGAGGTAGTATTGCTATTACTGCGACAGACCCTTTCAGGATTAGAGTTGTTTCTCAGAAAAACTGTTCCTCCAATATGGACTGAGCCTAAGGAACAGCAGATGGCTCATCTATTCTTATTGTCTTTTCCTGGGAAAGGATATCTGTCTGGACAGCACCTCTATTTGGTATCTAGGAAGCTTTTAACCCAAAGTGATTTTAGGCTACATTTTATCTACCATGATTGAAGCAACAGCTCAGCTTTAGTCAGGGCTGTGTCAGAACCGGAAGGCAGACAGGGCTGATTCACCCAGTTTGCACGTAACAAAGTTTCACTACAAAGCAAATTTTACATTTCTCAAATGCTACAATTATTTGTACTGAGTTAACCAAAATACAGACTGCACTAACATTTAGATCTTATGATAACATGACTTAGTATCTGCAGACCAGAAGATACTATGTTTTTCTTACAAACACCAACTTGTATACTTGTATTTTAATCTTCTAAAAATCCTACTACTAAAGTTACCAACAAGTAAACACATACAGCAATTTTGAATCTTCTTCAGATTCTGAGCCTCATTTTATTCAGGTGCCCTGTTTTCTTGTGACAGCACTATTCTTCCATCTTATAGTGGTTTACAGTAAGCCAATTAATAACATTCACTGTTTTGGTTTCAATCATTATGCCTATAGGTTTTAAATCTGTTCACTTTATAAGCATTAAGATAAATAAATAAATATTAGATAAACCCATTTAAACACAGTGCACACTTACCTATAAGCATTAATGTAATCCTTTCTGTGTTGTAGAAGAAAATCTTTCAGCTTTCCAATATGAGAAATCTAAACAAAAAGAAATCATAATTAAATTTCAGATTATTTTATGTTTGAAGTTCAGTATTCCACACTTCAAACATGAATTCATACATTTCTTATTCTATAATTAAATAGATTAATAAAATGTACTCTTTTATACTAGAATTTTCACATTTTCCAAGCAGTCAATACATAAAAATAAGCAAAAAAAGATCTGTTGTATGAAGTTCCACCTTGGAGAACAGCAGTAAAAATACGTGTCTTCTTCCCAAAGAACATAAACTAAGCAGTAAATTTAACTACAATATTAAACATTAAAAATATTAAACAAGGTAATACAAAATATGATCTAAATTTTCAATCCAGAATTTAATGATTCCAGAATTTCATGTAAGCTTTGGAAATAAATTAATTTTGGAAGACCACACAAGAAATTTTTCAACTCTTTACTGATCAGACATACATATTCAAGTCCAGCTATCAAAACTTGTATGGCAAGGTACTGACCCTCCCCTTCTACTTTTGCCCTAAAACAGTGACCAGTTTGTGCCCAAACTAATGTCTCTACTATCTGATAATCATTAGTAAGCTTTGCCAGATCACACATAACAATCTGATTTCCATTTCTGAATTTCCACCTCAATCTGGATAACTTTTACTATATATCGCTTTCTTTTATTTTTTAAGAAATCTTTACAAAAATCTTTTGGAAAGCCAGAAAAAAAGAAATCTGAAACAACTTTTGAAAACTTCAGTCTAATTTAAAAGATTTGGTGTAGCATAAGATGCTGCTTATTTTAGAGAATGAAGGGACTACGGAAGTATAGCTTAATTCACCAGAGAAATGAGAAGACACGATGGGGAGGGAGAAAAGGGAAGAGAATTCTATACATTAGCAATATATATTTTCTGAGGTAACTTTTAAAACTATATGCTCAAATATTAATTAATAATTCAGTGTAAACAAAGCATGAAAGGCATTTTACAACACAAAAGTTGTTTTAATTTACAATAAATACGGTTTACTCCACGTATCTGGGAAAAAGTATCAGAAACTGTTCTAGTCTTAAAATCTCATTTTCATGCAAATGATCTATGCAATTAAACAAACAAAAAAACCACAGAGAAAGAACAGAATTGTTTGGATAAATAGAAGATTAATTCCCCCAATTATTTTTTTTTCAAAAGCAGCTCTTTGAAAAAAAGTGCAAGGAAAAATGTACTTAGTAACATCACAGTAATTTGTACAACTCAAGAAAAGTGTTTCCTTATGCAAATATATAAGACTCCATTTCCCTATTACTATTACTTGCTCTGTTTCAGTTTTACTATAATCCATCATATTGGATAAGGATTTTCCCAGTTTTCAAGTCTCAAGTTTTTTGAGTGATTATCACAGGAAATTTCATCCCATTCATAGCAAACAGAGTTCTGTCAGTACCTTCAGGAGTTTCCCTAAGTGTGTTAGCACCATTATACACAGCAAGAAGGGAAATACTGCAATTGCTACAAGACCAATGAGGCACAAGCAGTAAGCTAAACCATTCTACAGATGTTCCTTCTCATCTCCACTTGAACTTAATATTTGTACAGTAATCTCTTTCTCAGCTCAAACTTGGTATGTCATCAAATTTGCTGAATAGACTAATCAAGCTTGACTATGAAAGTGAAACATCTAGAACAGTTATACAGTGTTCCAGTGGAACAATACTACTTAATAGGCAGAAAGAAAGTACTGCAGAGGACAAAACAAATGTAAAATAAGAAATGTTCCAAAACACTTATATTAATGCATGAGAAAACACTAAACTAGAATATATATAAGCAAATTTTGTAAGCAATAAATCTTAATATTACTGCAATAGTTACAATTTAGGAGTGATTAACAAGCAGAAAGAATCAGAATGACAAGCAAGAGCACTGTCTTACAGTAATTAATTCATCTAGTCACAAAGAGCATTCTATTTAGTCTAAAATTGTCATGATGTGTTTGAATTGCACTGACCCCACTTTGCCTCTCCTTCATTTGTAAAGCTATTTTCATGAATTTAGAATGACACCATTATGCCCATACTCACATCAAGCTCTTAGTTCCCAAGATTTGCATCAGAAGTGAGACTTGTTTTAGTTTCCCTCAAATTCTAACAGCACCTTCTGCAATCCTGCACTGCAGATATTTCTTTCTCCTTTTGTTACCATGTACTATTGGCATATCTTTGAATTCAATTTGTCATAACCATATGAACAAAATTAACTTGTTTTATTAAAAAGAAAGTCTCACTAGTATTAAAGGAAGGGAGTGCTAATTTTATTTTACAAAATTGATTGGTTTTCTGTATGATGCTCAAATTTTTGTAGATACAAAATGTCCCACATTATACAAAGATAAATCCTGAAGATATCTCCAGGGTAATCAACTTACAATTATTCTGGTGTTATCAGAGGCCCACTATACACTCTTTACAAAGTCACCAAGCTTCAGCCTAAAGGGAATAAAGCTTCCCTCTATTTCAACTGAGTGGCTTTATTAGAATGCTATTCCTCTTATTACTGTCAAATTATTGTCTAATTTCCAGGTTTACTGATTACCAACTTCTATATGTCTCTTCTTGCTTCAGAATGGTCCTTTTCCTTAAAAGTTCTGCTTCCCTGCATGTGTGTTTGACTTTACTGTCAGTAATTCATTCTATCTATCTATCTATCTATCTATCTATCTATCTATCTATCTATCTATCTCTAACTTTTGTAGCCCAGACAAATAACCCCAAGCTTTTATTTCCTTCTCACAAAACAGTTCTGAAGTGGCAGAACCCACAGCTTCCCTCTGCATTTGTTCCAGTTTCTATCCATCCATTTCCAATGCAAATGACTAGAAAGGCATTCACTGCTGTTGGTTACTTTGTAACTATTTCTACTGGAAACACTTTTTTTCCCCCCTACTATTTTTTCTAGATCCCAGTATGCATCTTGCTTTTACCCCACAGGTCTATGGCTTTTTCCTTATTAATTTAGCCTAGAGTCCATGACTAAACTATTCTTCATCTATACTCCAATTTCATGACAAATCCACACTTTTTACTAATTTTTTTATTAAAACAGCTGAAGAATATTTTAACTTTAGGAGGGTTTGAATACCAGTAGCAACTCATTGTGAACTTAGCCAAACATAACTTTATCTCTGCAAAAAAAAAGTCTTCCCTTCTTGTAACAGTTTTCTTGGCCAGTCTTTCTCACCCTGCTTTCCACTGCCTCTGGGATAAATTTTTGTATCCTCTCTTAATTAATCTTTCAAGTAGATCTAGTAGAATTTTAAATCCCACTTGCATTTCAGCACACCCATTTTTCCACTCCATTTACCCATCCATCATAACTGCAACTTCCAATTTGCTCACCATGCCTGTTTCCAAAACATTTTTACCACCACTTGACACAGGTGTCAAAAGGATAGATGAGAGCAATTTGAAGAAGCACAAACACATCTGAGTATTGGCCTCTTTTCATGGTTCTCATTCTTTGCATCTGGAAATTTACTTCCTTTTTCTCCTGAAGTCTGCAGCAGAGAAATAAGCCTTTCCTTCAACCCTGAAATAAAGAAATTATTTCCTTCCCCCCAACCCCTGCAGAGACAGGAGGGCTTAGAGAAGAACCCTTCATAGCTGCAGCACTCTTGCACTACATAACAACTAAACTTATCTTACAGGGAAGAACACTGCTGAATTTCCCAATAACTGACATTTCTAAGGGAATCAGGGAATAAAATACCTTTCCTCACAATATTGTGAGCACCAGTTATATCATTACAGCAACAGCATCTTCTTGAGCTTCTGTGCACTCCCAGAATACGGTGGGTTACGTTCATTCTAAGAATGAAGACTACTTAGGAAACTCCATGCTCTCCCTCTTCTCTTCCCATTCCCACTGACACTCCCTTGAGGGTCAATATCACACTCCAAAACACTGAAATGACTTTTTTTTTTTTTTTAAATTACTCTTCTGGAAAGAATTGGTTTCTTTCATTTCAGTTCCACAAATACCTGTATCAGCACAAAGGAGGGCAGGAGCTGAATAGCCCTGGTAGGGAACTTCCTACAAGACGCATCTGCCGTGAATGGAAAAGGTATATTTAATTACAACCTAAAAAATTCAACATGGTAACCTCCTAAGCTCAGTTACTGAATCTGGAGACTCCAGATGTTATTTAAAAACTCCAAATTTCTAGTTCTAATAATGAAAACCCACTTGACTCTCTACAGTAAAGCAGCAGCAGTTTGCCACTATGTGGCAAACAAAAGCACCAACATCATGCAAGTGAAAACCACTATAAATTCACATTAAAGCCTGTAACATAACTTTTTAAAAGTTACTTTAGGTTCCAGTTACCACTTGATCCTCAGTAAACTACCTCTTTAATACATATATCTGTGTTTTGTTGCCAATACAAATTTTTTAAACAACTCTTACTAAAGCATAAAAGCAATTATTGCATCTAATGCAGGTCTGACACAAAAGGAAGCTGTGAATAGCTGCCATCTGCTACCACAGGTGGCATGCATAGCTCTATTTATACTTGGGGCCTGCAGTAGAAATCGTAGATGTTCCTCTGTTTAGAGATTTTTCTAATGATTTCAGAGCAGGCTAAGTTATTTAAAAAGATAAGAAACAGGGAAGCATTGCCTCCAAAGCAGCATCTTGATGAGACGCGGAGGCTTTAGAACGAAGGCGCTGACTACGCTTCCTTCAGTCTCTTAGCAATACATACAGCATTTCTTTCCACTCCCAACAAAGAATTGATCACTCATGAAACAGTAGGGTCCAATTTGCATGCGTTTAACCCACTGCAAGAAGCAGCAGCATTGTTTACGATTAAAATGATTGGAGTAGGTTCCCGTGACATATTGTAGAGAGAATTCAACCATGCTGAATAGTCATTTTCATTGAACAAATATAGCGTTTTATCAAATTTACTCTTCCATCAGAACAATGCCCAACTATTTCCTACCATATAAAACTGACTGTTACACTTCACG